CCCTTGCCATTGTTATTCTAAGATTTATTTGTATTTACCATACTCTAGGGAAGAACAGCTTTGGAGCCTCATGCTCTGATATGATTTTTTTTCCCCTCAGCTTCTAGTAGCTTCTAGCTTTGGCTGTTGGAAGCTGTGATATTCCCAAGAGGAAAATGTTTCTGTCAACAAAGAGTGGGTCAGTGTGAATCTTCTTTTTTTAATAATAACAACAACAATAATAGTGTTTACAGAACATTTATTATTGTTAAGGGGCTTGCATGGCGTAGTGCCTAAGGTATTTGAGTGATAACCAGAAGGTTGATGGTTCAAACTCACCAGCAACTCTGTGGAGGGAAGACTGGGCAATCTACTTCTGTAAAGATTTACCACCTCAGAAACCCAAAGGGGGTCGCTATGAGTCAGAATCCACTTGATGAAAATGTTTTTTTTTTTTTTCTTAGACACTCCATATGCTTTTACCTCATTTATTTCTTATAATACTCTATGAGGCAAGGAGGCAAGTATAGGTAGTCCTGGACTTACTATGTGCTCCAGTTACTACAAACTGCACTTAGGCTGGGTTTTTGTTGTTGTTGTTGGTGGTGGTGGTGGTTTTACATCTTACTATTAGTAATATGTACTATACACAATGTTAAAATATAGCTGTAAATTTATATGTAGTGTTTCCAACTCCAAAAGACAAACAATAATGAGATTTATAAAGATACTGATAATAAAAGGCAATAATAATGGAAACTGAAAAAAAAAAAGGAGCTCTGGTGGCATAATGCCTAAGGCATTTGCTAACCAGGAGGCTGGCGGTTCAAACCCACCAGCCACTCCAGGGAAAGAAGACTGGGCAATCTACTTCAGTAGTGATACTGCCTCAGAAACCCAAGGGGGGGTCCCCGCTATGAGTCAGATACGACTGGACTGCAGTGAGTTTGGTTTGGTTTTGGATTTACCTCAGAGCTAACTCACTTATGACGGAGTAATCAGAAGGGAACCCAATCGTCAATCTTGGAGACTATGGGTATTTTTATGATGCTCATTTACATTTTTACAGATGAGGAAAACTGAGCCTCAACACATTAAATAACTTCTCTAAAGGGCTGGTAGCTGGAGGAGACAGGACTCCATTCTAAGGACCTTCACAGACCACCAGGCAAAGGGGCCAGACATTGCAATCTTTCACGATGAGCCCCTAGGGCCCGGGCTCTGGCCGCTCTATCCCTTTCTGCGGTTGACAACCAAGACTGCTGTAGAGGATCACAGCCTCCGCC